TGATCTCGAACCCTCGCGCGTTCGGTTTATTCGGGGGAAAAACGGTCGCTCCCTACGTTCATGCACGAATGATTTATCTGGCAACTATTGTACCTCCTTCTATGTATGTCAACTTGAGAGAAAAAAATGAAATTTGAGTTAAAATAATATCACAATGAGAAACAGTAGCGCAAAACTTTTATAACCCTATTGTATATTTGCAGAAAAAGAATCTAATAAAGAAAAACTTCGTTGATTTAGATCGTAGGGAAATTAGAGGAAATTATCAAATCATTACGTGCATAAAATCACGTTTTCTTGAATGAATCTTAGAAACAAAATAATAACTGAAAATTAGAAAATTTTAAAAATATTATAAATTCTTTAAATTAATAGATTATACATATAGATGCCTAATCTTTATCATCAGAAAGTTAGCAGTGTCATAAATTTTGTACATAAGGAGAAAAAATACTTTCTTGTAAGTAAATTTTTTCAATTGAAGTGATACGATGAAGTCATTCATATATAGATTTATTATCTTCTTTTTTCCATATAATGTAAAAAAAAGAAAAAAAAATAAAAACATAAACGAAATATAAATTTTTTAACTTTTAAAATATTTTATGAGTTTCAATTACTACTCGGCTTCTAAGACCCATTAAAAGAAACAGTTTTACAGGTATTTAATTTAGGAATGTCCATCTAAAATCTCTACAATTAATCAAAATTAGTAAAAAGAAGTGAGTAATCTCTCCTCGTAAACGAAGTAAATTTGATAAATTAATTATAGCTAATTATCGTTTAATTTGTATGTGAAAAATAAAATTCATAATTTTAATACGTCGACCTATAATTAAATCAGACAAACCGATTTCACATTGTTACAAAATAGTAGCCAAACAATCGTACTGTGTGCCAAGACAAATATAAATTTCCCGTCAAGACGCCCCATCACTATGTGATAATTAATAGTATTAAATGTCTCATGTTTCTCATATGAATTGCATCAGTCTCTTCAAACAAAAATTAATGTTATTTTGTAACGTAAAAACAAAGGAAGAAAATTCGTTATATGTAGGACATTCATTCCTTCATTCGTTCGTTTATTTCTCAAGTCACAGAAGAACATCAATTATTTTTGTTAGTTGCTGAGATATTATCAATTTCATCGAGCAGTATTCATGCAAAGAAGAAAGAATATCATCATCGGAAATAAAACGATTCTCACAGACTGACAGCAACATGTAATCCACGGTTCATTTCGTTTGTCTACATGTATCGAGTAATTATTTTAAGACGGCGTAGATATAAGAGCGTCAACGTATCGATAAAAAAATATATATTGCTAAGATAAGAATGCAACAAATGTGACATTTCGACATGCGGTATGGATGCTCTTATGTCCGGGGATGGTCCGCTGATCTCAAACGGCTGTGGCCGCGAGATACACAATGTAAGTTATTCTATTTATACGGTTGCACAGTCACGGGGAGAACGAAAGAAAGAGAAAGAGAGAGGGGAAAAGAGAGAAAGAACGAGAGACTGTTTCGCAACACGGTCTCGTCAACGTCGCGTTTTACGCGCCGCGAAGTTAAAACGGAGCGCAGTATTTTGAGGACTCGTCAAACGTAACGTAATGTGCGCGTGCTTGATCGTGATTTATTTCTAGCGGCCTGTTCGTTATCGGAATATCGAGGTCTTCACGAAGAAATTAACCTCGTGACGAACACATCTAAAATTATTACAAATTCTTAGTGTTTCTCTAATCTTCTAAAAAGGTTAAACGATTTATACATTTACGGAAAGGACGGTTTTGATGAAGTATATTTAACACAAATAATAATTAATACAAATCTATATCAGTATAACTAATACAAATCTGAAAATAATTTTGTAAAACTATCAAAATAATTATGTATGCAGGACGCTCAAGCTGCAGATTGCTAGAACGTCAAAAGTTTTGCTCAACATATTTGAGATTCCTATACAATTATTTCGATGATTCAAATTATTTTCCTATACTTGATTATATACTTAAATTTTTAGATATGTCAACAAAATCGTTTTTTCTATGTTGATCGTATTATTTTCATATAATAGAATATATAAAAATTAACGTAACACAGATTTATATAAATTTAACTTCTATATTATTATTACAATTCAGAAATTCAGACACGTTTGCTCACACAATACTAATTGCAAGTTCCTTTGTGCAGTTAAATAAAAGATATAAGCATTGTCTCCCATAAGCGTGTAAAAGCGCGGCGCAAATGTCTAAGATTTAATTAAAACCCACAGAATCGGGGAAACGATCTCACCATCCTAAACGAGGTGGAACGTCGTGAACGATCGTGCAAGAACGCGCGAGTAACGTCTCATTGGGCACAGATTGACCTAATTACCGAAAGGAAACGTCTGGCGCGCACGAGTCACCTAGTTGGAGCATTTGGTGCGTTGCCTGCTTTCTGCAAATTGTCTTCCATTCATAGATTCTTATGACATGAAGGAAATTTAAAGCTGCGATAGTCTGCCATGATTTGCAGAAATATCACCGAGTAAATGGCCATTAAACGCGTTTTAAATCCATCTTTTTATTTGTATGATTCATTCTTTCTCTGATAACTTTTTTCGTTTTATAATTCTTATTACGAATTTTGAAAAATATTAATAGTATGAAATAATTTTTAAAGAATATATTTTCAAAGACATATCCATCTTATAAAATTTTTGTTAAAGTTTACTTGCAATCTTGAAAGAAACTATTGATGAAAAAATCATATATCAATACTACAGAAAAAAAGAATATATGTACTTTTATCGAACCGGAAATATGTCGGGCTAATATATAATATATGTAATACGCATTGCTTTTATCGACTACCTATTTATACCGCCATTGTCTTTTGTACATTTATAAAATACCCACGATACGAACATTTGTCAAACCATAAAAGCAGTCATTGAAGTTCTGGTTGCGTCACATATTAATTATAGAACCAAAAATTTTATAGAAAATTTGCAAATACACTGTCAAATTCATGATGTCATGTTATACAAAATTTGAGTTACTTTAAATCATTCCTAAAAATCCCCTACTTCTACTCAATATATCGTTAATTTAACTGAAACAATGCAGCTGAAGTTTAATTCAAGAAATGTATTAATTTGATTCAAATTTGATTTATTATATTGATTTACTACATGCATATGTAATATAAACGCTATTTATTTTGAAACAAAATAATTCAATTACAGAAATGGATTCATTAGATGTTATTTTTTTTAATCACATAGTTTTAAATAAAAATAATACATTTTGAACACATTTGGAAGGTAAAAGTAACCTTAAAAAAAGTAAAACAAAACGTAACCTTTAAATTTGTTTCTCTTAATATTTAATAGTGCATACCGAATGCAATTGCAAATAAAATCTGTATCTGCTGTTGCGGATGCATAATAATCAATTAGCCAGTTTCAAATTAGAAACATTTAAACTAATAAATTATTAACACGATAAAAATTAAAAACATTCATTTTGTGAGTTTAATTGCACTATCGAATAAACATATATAAAAAATGAAATAATAGAAATAATAAAAACATCGCAAATTTTTTATAATAAAATATAAAATATATAAATTTATAATTTCTTTTTCTTTGCAACATCTATCTATTTGAGACATGAGGGATGTCCCCACATTTAAAATATATGGTGTTCAATGTCCAATCAAAACAAAATAAAGTTCGGTACACGTGCTATCGGCACATCGCCAAATCGACATATATCTCTTCTGCTGACAAAAGAAACAACAATAATGCGACACATGCGACCGAACGTCTGGAAAATTTACGATCTATTGCAATCTTATCTATTAGTAGATTTTGATTATACTTTGATGCGAAATGTCAATGAAAAAGTTACTTTAAAAGATATTTAAAAAATATTATATCCATTTCTAAAATAAATTTTAAAATATAATTGTATTGTTCTTTTTATTATTGCAAAAAATATTTTTCTTAATTTAAATTGTGTCCTATAAAGGACCTTACAATATTCAATTTCAAATAAATAGAGACAGAGATGTGTCATACAAATTCACATAGAAATAATTAAGCACTAACACTATAAGATCCACTTTGACCGATTATAGGAATTCTTTATAGTTAATTAATTATATTAATTTTAAACATGTCTGCATTTTTCTGACAAATTTTCTTATCATGACAAAAATTATTAATTATAAATATTTATAATTTTTTACATATTATTAGACAGAAATATCAACTAGAATATCCATTTGAGATGCATTATCACGTTTCACGTCTACAGTGAGAATTGCATATTTTCATGAGGCCGTTTCGCAATGAGAGCGGCAAACGTGTAAATGTCTCGCAAACCGGAGAAACTTCATTCCCACCGTAAAGCACGGTTTTATTTGTATAGCCGTTTTCCAGTTGAACGTAGTGGTGCGCAGCAGTTTGTCAATACGATTATATGACAGATTTATCTGCAATAAAATGCACGTGAGTATAGGAGTATACGGCATCATCGAAATATTTTCCGGCCATCTCCGTTTAGTCTCACAAATACTCAACTTGATCCATACAAAAATCAACAAGAGAGAGCTTGGTTATGAATACAAACTTACTTTTTCTCATTGTGGATTTAATGCCCATCTATCCAAATACCGAAAAGATATCCCGCTCGTTTTTCGTAATCAAACATCATTAAATATAGATACGATTCATGATGGCAATTATGTGAGCGTAAACAAGTTCGCGCTGCCATGAATCATAATTTCAGACGTAAAAACTTGTCTTGCGTAACGTGTATAATACGCTTATAATGATACATAAATCAAATCAAGTAAAATATAAAAAAATAAAAGCGAAAATAGAAGAAAAACAAAACATGTCATGCACGAACGTGATGATTGTTTACTCTCGCGCGAAAAGAGAATGCTTTACTTTCACAGCACGATGCTGCCAAATTTTCAAAGCACGAGATCACTCACATCATCTTTTCTTCACCTCCTCCCTTCCTGCTTCTCCTGTTATGGCACGAGCTGTGGCACAGCACAATCGCGAGGAGGAGCGACAGGAATCGCGCGCGAACACTGGCTCCTCTCGAGAAATAACAGCCGGCGATGTGCTTAAATCACCGATCGATGGAGATCCTCCGATCGACTCCTCTACTCTCTCACACTCTAATCGCGGGTGAACGCGCCCCGTTATGGCGCCACGTTCGGTGATTAACGACGGTGCAACAACCACCGCGACGTGACACGCGCGTACGAATTTCCATCGCTCTCGAGTTTCGCGTGGCGCGAACCAACCAGCGGCACGGCCGAGAGCCAATTCTCCACCAGACGGGAACACTGCGCACGCGACGAGATCGACGCCGAAGCACGATAACGAATATGATGACGACAACGATGACGGCGACGTGCACGTCGACGACGACAACAACCGGCACGCGAGAGGACCCTCTTTTCCCGTCGCGCACGATTCGCCACCACCGACGACAGAGAGAGAGGACGACGCGACGTTCTCGTGGATGTCGCAAGCGCCGTCGCACGGCCAGTCGACGAACCGTCGAGGGAGAACGAGCGAGAACGACTGACGAGACCAGTGGAAACAGAGAGCGGTGCACCGGCGCGCGTCCCGTGCCTAGTGGAGTAGAGCGATGAGCGGCGCGGCGCGGCGCGACGCGGAGCGCCCAGTAGAAACGGAAAGCGGTGCACCGGCGCGCTTCCCGCGCGTAGTAGAGTACAGCGACGAGCGGCGCGACGCGACGCGGGGGAGGGAGGGGAGGAGGAGGGGGGGGGGGGG